TCCGGGCGACGTGGTTCTGGTGCTACTCCATAAGCTCGCTGTTCAGGACCCGCTCTCCCTGGTGCGTGCCACGTGTGCCTTGGCGGCTTTTTACCGCGCTGAAAAAGTAACCCCTAGTATCTGGAAGGAAGCATTCTACGGAATGGCTGGAAAACAGGGACTAGAAGACACTTCTAGGTTACAAGCAGAAGTGGAAATTCTGGGAGGGTACAAGGTCTTGGTAACTGCCAGGCTGCGTGTTTGTTCAAACGGTGAACCTGCCAAAACCAAAGAAGACGTGATGGAGAAACGCCATCTATCAGGTGTTGCCGGCCGCAGCTTGACGTCAAACATGTTTCCTGGAAGGGTTCTGATCCTGATTCGGTTGAAAGAGAGACTGCTCTTGTGGGGTCTCTCTGACAAGCGACAAAGGTTGGCATGCGCCAAGCATTGGAGGAATTTTGATGGATGGATACGCCTCACTCTTGAACAGCTGTTTCCAGCTGACCTGCTGACCGCTCCTTGGAGAAGATCTTAAGAAGAGCTCGGGACAGAGCTGATGAGAATCGCACCAGCTGTCTCACAAGGCGGGCGCCTAAGGCGGCACTGTCTATTGAATTGTACGCTTACACTCCAAAGAAACGAAGGTCTAAGAGGAGAGGCGCAGCTACTCTAGTCGGGAACAGCGCTTTTCACGGGTTCTTTCATGCCCTGGACATCATTCCTCGGAAGACATTCGACGACTTTTATGTGTGGGGGCATGCATGTCACACCGGAGCCTCCAAAGAAGACTCGGGTCCAAGGAAAAGAGGAGGGGGTATCTGCCGCTTTGGGGCTCAACTATCAGTCTGTTCCAGGCTGGTCCTTTTCTTGGAGTTTGGAAGAGGAAGATCTAATATCGTGGAGTGAACGAGGAAGAGTGTGCGGAGCAAAGTTTGCAATAAAGATGGGTATGCTGGAGTAGCCTCCTTTCGATACAACTTGTACCACCTCACTAGCTGCATGGACCATAGATCTTTCCTCTTGAACTTGCGGCGAGACGGACTCTTAGTCGCCAGGAATAAAAGCTGCATGCTCTCAAACGATCTGCAGCCGTACTCATGACAGACAACCGACCCGCGTCTAACTGCTCGCATTACAGAATTCAGTCAATAGCTATTAACGTGGCTGGCTAGCACACTTGACTGGGTCAGGCTTGGTCCAGATGCTCACAAAGATTGCATTCCAATCAGATGCCGATTCAACTTTCAAGGTACCATAGGGCGCGCCGGGCCCCGAATGTACTATGCTTTGACAATTTAGGGCGTCAGACAAAGTCGTAACGAAGTCTGTACGCATCATGAAGATGCGGCACATTCCGTGCACGCCAGCCCATGCCCGGCCTGCAATGATGAGGCCTCAACTTGCATCAATCATACCAAATAGTGGTTATACGCATTACTGGATTTACTAACACACGACTGCACATATCTCAGTGGCACGTACATGTATCTATCTATAAGCTAGCGCGGGCACGTCAATGCATGTGCTCTGATATCGATCATGCAAGTTGTAACATTCTTAACCAGCAGAGCAGCATGCAGTACGTGCATGGGCGGCGAGCTGCATGTTATCAGCGTTGAACTGCAGATTGTGCACAATTATTGATTTATTATAATGCGTTGCAGTGTGTACGTGTGAGCTTAATGAGATTTTTTGTAATCAACGCAGACAGCGGCGAAATTGAAGATATTCGGCGTCCCGCAGTACGCCTAGCGGGCCTTTGAAGCGGCAATTGGTCGAGACGGTAGCTTCGCATGCAACACTGGCATGCACACGTACAAACGTTACACCAGATGTCATAGGTACTATCACTGTCATGATAATGATCACTTGATCGGCTTGCACGAAGTCGAGTCGGATTGTACTGGGCGAAAAACATGCATATGGACGTTTCCTTTCACAGTAGAGGCCCGACGCGCCCGTCCATCAACGTACGATTGAAAACACCATAAAGTTGCTTGGAAGATCGACAAGCCGCGCCGGTAGAAAGGTATATACAGCTAAAAGTATACACCGAATAGACACGAGCTTCAAAAAGCTTTTCAAAGCAGCGGTATCTTGTTCATGCTGCACAAGCTAGCCACTTGCCCTTGGCCAACCATCTCTCTGGCGCAGTGTTACTACAAACTTCGCAACCCCATTATACGTGCAATCCGTTCCGTCTCCTTATCAGCGTACCTCTTTCGGCTGGTCCTCGCACGCTGCCCCTCGCCGTCGCTCTCTACCACCTCCGCCTGCGCCACCAACCTCATCCTCTGCTCAGAATTACCACTCCGCTCTAGTTGCTCTTTCTTGGTCGCATGTCCGTGCGGCCAAACAGGCCCCGACGCCGCGGCCGCGGACACGACCGCCTCCACTCGCCGACTAAACCCCCTAAACCCCTCGACTTCCTCTAGCCTACTCACGCGCTTCACTTCGTCGCGCTCTGTCCGCACGACCTGAGACGACCATGGGCCCTCTGGCGGACTTTTCGGGACCAAGGCGCTGGGGCCCGTGCGGAAACGTTTTAGAGGGGCCGGCACGAAGGTGATGCTGGAGTGGAGGGTGAACGGGTAGCGGCTAGGAGCGCCCTCCCGTTTGGGGGGTCGGGGAGGAAGCTGGTTCGACGGGCCCGCCCGCTCTTCGAGCACGGAACGTCGTTCGAACACAGACCGCTCTTCTACAACCATTGCTTGGGCCAGCGGTTTGGATTCCTCCGCCCCTTTCCCAATTGCCGAGACATGCCCGCGTACCGTTTCCGGGATTGCTTTTTCTGCGTCGGTTGCTCGGAAGTTGCTCGGTGGAGGCTGGTTTTGGCTTGTGCCGATTCGAACGCCCTCAGCCGTGCCGTTTCCGTCCTCTCTAGTTCGCGATATGTCGCCACTTTCCTCGTCAGCTTTCTTCGCTTTTTCCAGGTCCACATTGCGCTCCGAAGCAATGGAGAAGTCTGCCGCTGCCTTTCTTCCCAATTTACCCGGAACCGGATTGCCGCTGTCGCTCAATGTTACAGCCTCGTCAATAGAGGCAAAACTTTCCCCAAACGTACTTCCGGTCGCCTTCATTAGTCCGGGGCTGTTGCTTTCCGCAGGACTCGCCTGAGCCCACCCGTCGTTTCCGTCCCCCCCCTCGTCCATCTCAAACGAAACGGCCACTCTTGGGGGATCCCCCGACCAGCCGTCCCCGCCCTGTCCCCCCTCGAGATCGTCGCGTCCGTACTCCACACCGTCCGCTTCTTCCGGCGACCCTTCCCCGCCTGCAAACACGTCCACGTTCGCCGAAAAGTGCCCCAATAGCCCTCCTTCCTCAGCGTGCCAATCCTGTGTCACGTCGCCGCTGCCTTCGTGCCAGGCGTCCCGGTTGACACCGCCGCTCGCGTCTTGCTCGATACCTTTGGCAGGGGCCACCGTAGCTTCAAAACCCGCTTTTTCCACCTCTTCGTACGGATACGACACTTCGGCCCCCTGCCCAGATTCTAGCGCTTCGGGCCCCCTATCGCGAGCAGCTTCCGCAACCCCCCCGCCCCCGCCAGACACTCCTACCCCCGGCTCAGACTCCGGCACTTCGCCCCCCCTCTCATCGAGGCCCCGCCTCGCCAGAATCTTCCGCGACATCTCCTGCAGCTCTTCGAGCCGCAGCCGGACGTCCTCCATGCTCGACTCGCGACCCCATCTCACTTCTCCGAAGCTTTCCTCCTCGTTCAATCCCCCTCCCTCTAACGTTTCCTCTTCCACTTGACTTTCCAGCTTGAACTCCTCGATTAGTGCTTCCGCTTTTTCCTGGCTGACTGCATTTTCCGTTGTCAGCTCCTCATTCCCCCGTCGCGCGCCCGCCCCCCCGGGTGGTCCCCTTTGCGGGGGGCTCCGCAGGCGAACCTCCCCCCCCTCGGCGTCCGCCGGCCGGTAACTCGTCAGAATCACATCCACCGGGGAAACGACGACTTTGAGTTGCCCGAGCGACCGTTGCCGGAGATCGTGAACAGTGTACCAGCCACACAATTCCTCCATCCCCAAAAACAGCGGCGAGAGGTCGATCGCCGCGCAGCCGACCAACCGGTCGAGGTCGGGGGACGGCACCGCCTCCTGCGCGCGCGCATGCGCGCCAAGCTGCAGTGGGAGCGCATTCACACCGCCCACGTGGCTAGAACCCCCGGACCCCGGCTCGGGTAACCGTTTCCAGGCTTTGAGCACCAGGACGCGGTCGGTCGGGCGGTTCCGTGACGGCGTGGCTAACGGGAGGTGACGGGAGTGATACCATTTCGGACTAGAGCTCGGACCCACCAACGGGCTGCACACCACTTCGCCCGTCTCCTGCCACCGGTAGCTCACGAATAGCCCCTGGGGGACGTTCCGCAGCGGAAAGCCAGCCGTTCCGGCGGATTCCGATCCCTCAAGGCTGGAAGTTGTACCCGTTTCTGCGCGCGCAAGCTTTAGGGTTTTGGAAGTCTCGGCGCCCGCCCAGAAGTCCTCCTCGGCCTGGCTGTGACATGCGGTGAACTGGAGGTTCATGGCGGCTTCGATGCAGACCCGGACGCTCGTGTAACGTTGCTCCGGAGGGATTTGAAGAACCCGTCTTTGAGGGGGCACTGACTGGCCCATTTCGGGCGCAGCTGTCGGAAGAGAGTCCGGCAGGGGGGCTGTCGCGTCTGTTGGGGCGGCTTGGAGGGGCTCGGGGGATTGCCCCGGGGCTGGGCGACCCGTTTCTGTAGAACCCGGCGTCATGTGTTGGGAGAGGCTTTCCCGGCGTTCTGCGGTGTGGAAAAAGCAAGCTGTTGGTGATACTGTGAGGCGCTACCATCAATGATGTTGTAAGAGGAAGCATTCGTTTGCTGGCAAAAACATGAAGACATTTAACCTCTTCCTATCCAGCAGCTAGATGTTTGGATGAAGGAAGGAAGAAAGCTAGTCGTTGAACCCAGACGAGGACCAGGACAAAACACCAGAAATAATCAAAACGTTTAAGTTAGCAGCAGTGCAGCTGTCTTTAAAAGGTGCTCAAACCTGTCAATTGTGACTACTTATCACACGTCCGCTACACAGAGCCAAACATCGAGAGGCGAGCAGTGGACCCGACGAACGACTTGTGCTCCACTCGAGAAACGCACGCCTTTTTTACCTGCTCATGTATCCCGTTCATATCTTATGAATCCGGCAAACCCTCTTTCTTTAAGGCGCATGACCAAGTCCGAGCGGAACAAAGCAGACCGCATTTTTCGCGGAAAAATCATCCCGTCTTCCACTACTTCGCCCAGAATGCTCGCTGCCCTAGATCAATTAAAGAACCTACTACACGTGTTCTATTCTCCTTGTTCCATGTAAAAGATCGACCCACGGGCAGAGATGACACTCACCTTCGCCGCTGCCTCTTGTCCTCGGACCCGTGGTTGGCATGCCCCTTCTCCCTGCCGGCCCCCGTTTCAGGGGAGCTGTGACCGTCACGTGCCCTGCCAGTCGCCTCGCTGGGCCCCTAGGGATCTCGGACTCTTCCCCTTTCCCTTCCGAAAGCAGCCGGCTTGCATCAGTTTCACCAATTCCCTCCATCCTAGTTGCCCGTCTTGAGTCACCTCTCTCGTCGCTGCGGACTGACAATGCCGCCCTTTCTGGAGACCGCACCGACGTCTCTCCGGTCTGATGTCCGTCCCCCTCCCTCTCGGAAACGCCCTCGTCTTCTCTAAATTCTAAACCGTCATCGCTACGCAGCTTCCCCGCCCGCGCTTCCTTCGAGCGCCGCAACAGCTCAGCCGATCGCCGGAGCGCGCGCTGCTGCAGCCAATCCTCTTCGTCCACGTCATCACTAGCCTCCGACCCCCGCTCGGGCGACAGACTCGTCCCATCGTAACCTCCCTCTTCTTGCCGCTCCTCCCCGAGGCCTTCCTCCGACTCTACTTCAGATGTAGCTTCCAGACTGTCACCCACACCCAGCGTTACTTCGGGACTCCCACTTCCTGCCACCGGTGAAAGCGGTTCCGGAGACGCTTCCTGGAACCGACTTCTAGATCCGAGGGCCTCCTGACTGTGTCCGCTCGGGTCCGTCTCCGGTTTCTGCCTCTCTGCCAACTGCAGCAAAATCCGCACTATCACGCGCGCGTTTCCCAGGTTCGCAGAGTCCGGATGCACCAATGCGAACGCCCCACTCAAACTCGCAGTTTTGGGCGCTTCGGTCTTCTGTCGCCCAAAAGTCCTGACCCCCCCTGAAACTCCAACGCTTTCCGACCCCGCCGGAACGCGCAGGTCTGCGACGCCGTGGTCTAGCAGGGGGCTCAGCCCAACGTAGGCGGTGCCCACCAGTCGGTCCCTTCCCCTTTCCCGTCTCTCCCCCCTGGAAGTCGGTTTGCCCCGAGAGGGATCCCTCGGGCTGTCCACCCGCCAAACCTCCACGGCCAGCCGCTGCTTGAGGTGTTCCAGAAACGCATCGTCGAACGGCGTGATCACTTCGCACGTGTGCTCCAGGAGAACACTCCTTTCGTCCCCGTCCCCAGAACCCCGCGCGTCGTTTTCCCGCGAAGTCGACTGTGCCTCCGGCGCAGTCGGAACGGCCCGACTGACACACGGCTCCGCCTCTCCGTATCGCGCATGAACCGCATAGAATCGGTCCGGCGCGGCGCGCTTTCCGCCAAGCAGCTCTTGCAACCCGCCCTCCTTACCCCCCTCCTTCGGAAGAACCACTTCTTCGACGCTCACTGTCAACCGGGCTACCATCTCCTGCTCTTTTTGGGCAGCGCTCGCACTTCCCCGGCTATGCGTCCGCAAGCGAGAGGGACTGCTTTCGAGGGGCCGGGTGTTTGGGGCTCGGCTTGGGGGAGAAATTGGAGGGGAGAGGGGCTCCGGTGACGTCAGGATGACGTCATGGTCGTCGGCCTGGGGCAGGGGCCGCCACTCCGCGACTGCGATGTCCAGCTCGATGGCCCCAACCATGTCGCCCCTTCTCGAGAGGATGTCGTACCATCCGTTGATACCTGGGGGAGAAGGAGGAGGGATGGATTGGCTTCAACCGAGAGTTTTTACCACCCCAGCAAAAGCCTCGAGAGAGGGTACCAGCCCAAGAAAGCGGTGGACCAGCATGACGAAGATACGTTTACGCTCTGCTGGGCTATACTTTGCCAGCACAACGCAACCCGCTCGCCACTTTTGCGGTCCTTGACTCAACCATCCAAACGTGGCCTTCACAACAGAAATTCAACCTTTTGTGAGTGCACATGTAGAGCTTACCATACCCAGCGACAAGCGCCACTGACTTCACTGTAAGCAGCGCAGGGTGTTCAAAACTTCCAGGGAGATGATGTCAAAGCCGACATCCAACCTCCTTTTCGTCCTTTCACGGGCTGATTGATTGCCATAGCCACCCCTTCGTTCCTTTCACTCCGGGGCCCGCAGCTGATGATGGAACGCGTCTGATATTCTAAAGATAACACAAAAGTCCACACATGTCCAAAAGGCGCCTGAGTAGGGTTTTTAATGTCCTTCTTCTTCGTTCTTTGGCATTCACTTAGCGGCACCCTGACCCTGCCCAGCCACCAAATTTGTCCAACTTGTCAGAGTTGAACAGGGGAGCGTAGGCTGAGCCAGGCTGAGTCGTTCAAAGACGTATGCTGAATTATTGTGAGAAGCTAGGAAGAGACTTTTATGCTATCAACAATGGAGAAGCCCACCTTTCTCATTCTTCACCAGTTGGCTCAGCGGCACGCTGACCGTCCCCAGCCACGAGTTCGTCCCTTCCGCCTGCATCGACCGCGGCGCGTGGTGCCACACTTCCAGAACCGCCACCCCCGTTCTGAACGCTTCCAAAACCTCCTCGTTAACCGTGACGCTCAGTCGGCGGTGGAACCCGTAGTGGGGGGTAAAAGTCTGGGCTTGCAGAGGTGTGTGGATGGGGGGGTACTGCAGCTCGAGCTCGTGGCTGGACGGAAAGAGGGACAGCCGGACGTACGAATGGGCGCCCGAGTGGAGAACCGTCCGGAGGGAGGGGCTCGTCGGGATAGCGGCGGCAACAGCGGCCTGGAAAACCCAAGATTGGTCTTGATTCGAGGAAAGGGGTGACTCGAACCTTGTGAGAACTAAGAAAGAAAGGGTTCACGAAGGACAAATCTGAGACAACCGTGTATAAGAACTCCAGCTTCCGTATTCAGCCGTGGGGATGCCTGCGGCAACAGCGGCCTGAAGAAGAAGCGCTGGGGTCACAAGTGGGTCTCCAGAAGAAGCAATGGTTGTAGCTTATCAGGGCCAGAAAGAATACCTCACAAATCGTCTCAATTGCTTACATGTAGGAGCTACAAGCATGACCCTGCAGCCTCAACGAGGGCAGACAATACTTTTTTCTCATTTTTTTGAATCACTTCGTGTGCAGAGTCGCGAGCATAGTCTCCTCAGGGTTATAAGAAAATCAAGACAACGGTAGCCTGACCGCCATCTAGTGGCGACTCAGGTTATCGAGAGCATTTCAGAACTTCAATGAATCTGATGCCACTGAGCTTTGTAACTTCCACTTGGACGTTCCTGAAGGGCCTTCTAGCTGTTCCAGAATATTCATTCTCCTACGAATGCACCCTAATTTGCACTTCTCTTGCATCTTCGAAGGTAACGGCCAGCTGTCAGACTCAGTCGTCCAAAACAAGCATATCCAAGGAAGTGCGGATGGCAGGAGCCCACCGGTCAGCTAGAGCCGCAAGCTCACCTGCAGGCCAGACGCCCTGATGATTCTGATGTCGAGAACAGCCTTGATGGGCAATTCTGGCAGCGGCTGTCCCTGGGGCGCAAACACCGTGTCCGCCAGGGGGTGCTGGAAGACCGCGCTCGCCTGCAGTGGAATTCAAGGGGCTATTAGTTTTTTAAGTTCACCCCAGTTCGTTTGGCTTCGAGTCTTGAATTCCCGAAACACAGCGTTAAGATAGACCGCATGCCAAGCTCATCGCAGCCTTGGGCGAAAAACATAGCCTTGCAAACGAAGGAAGAGATCATTCGCTTGTGATGCTCTACTCCGTTCGGCTTCAGGTCCGGCTTCAGGACTCTCGAAACACAAATGATGAGGTAGAACCGCATGCCAAGCTCAAACAGACCGTGAGAGGAACACGGTTTTGCAAGAACGAAACAAATCTAAAGAATATGGCGCTCGCCTGGTAGGAAAGCTCCACTTGCAGTCGGGGGAAGCCCTCCCCGGGGGGAATCCCTTCGGCCAGGCGGATGGGCAGCTCAAACGTCTTCTTGAACTGCAGAGGAAGAGGAAGATATGAGGGACGGCAGCTGAGAGCGAGGGGCAAGAAGGTGTTGTAAGACTGCTCGCGTGGTAGATTAGAATATTTGCAGTCGGGCGGAAAGCGCGTCCGGGGAGGGTTCCGCAAAGTGCTCAAATCCGTCTTTTCGACCTGCGGAGGAAAAGGTGAAAACAGGAAAGGGGAAATATGGGGCCATCCGAAACGACTTTCTAGGCTGCGGGAAACAGGGAAGACTGCAACAGGCGGGATCGGGACAGCTCAGCAGTCACCTTGAACTGCAGAGAACAGGGAAACGATGAGAGAGACTGGGAGCTGGGAGCGAGGGGCGGGACTAGATAGCAAGGATGAAAGCAAGGACAAAACATGGTTCAGAAGCTGAGAAATTAAGAGCCCGACCGCAAAGAGCGAGCTAAAAGCGAGCGGTCGCGAACAGACAGCGTCACAATTATGGGAAGATAAAGACAAGAACTAAGACCAAAAGCAGAGAGTGACAAGCATTACAGAACTCATGATTCCCCTGTCGTAGTAGTGCCGAATCAGTGCTTTCGAAGCAAGGTGGTCAATATTACGGGTACGAGAAACAAGTTGCAGAATGAATGACAGATGCTGTTCGATAAAGCTCCACGTAGTCAAAACGCTTTGAACGAAGTGCGTTCCTTCAGATCAATACCAGCTGCAGATCCTTCTGGAAGCGCAACAGCAAACAATTGACGAATTACGGCACAGCCATCTCTTCAAAGGCAGTGTCATGACCAGACTAAATCCTGTTGGCCCAACAACAAAGAAAGTCAATCGAGTCAGCTCCTCACCTCCGGACCACTCGCTGGTCGCCGCACATCCGCAGCCTTCAGCAGCACGTCCATCTGCAACTCCGCCGCACCCACGTGGCACTCCTCCGGCCCTCTCTCGCCCTGCCACGTGTCCACCCGGTCCCACACCTCGAACCGCAGCCCGTGCGCCGCCGCCCCAAAATGATCGCCGATGCGTTCCGCAACCGGAAGGGTTATGCTGTGCCACGCCTGAGCCCCGAACCGGGGACTTCCGCTCCAGTCGACGTTCCGTGTGTACAGCGGTTCCGTTTCCCCCGGGAACCAGTACTTAATGAACCGGTGTCCTTCGGGCGGAGAAGGGTGCGCTTCCGAGCGGCTTTGACCTGAGGCTTCTGCGGACTTCAACTTTTTCAGGGGGGAAGTCGGAAGATTCCTTGGAGGGGCTTCAAAATGCTGCGGGTCCGCTTTGAAAGTAACCGCTTTCTTCCTGGGGTTAGTCGCCTTCCCCTGCGCAGCTGCATGTTTTGCAGAATGGGACGGGTCGGCTTCCGTTTCGGCTCGTGCGCCGCTGACGTCATACAGGGCCTCCCCCGCGGGCAGTCCCGCAGCGCCCACGACCGTCACGCGGAACGTGTGCTTGACGCACGCGCCTCTCCCCATCCCTAGTTCCTCTTCCCGCCGGGCGGCCACCTGAGCGGCGACCCGCTTCCTTGCAGCAAAGCCTCTTGCGTACCGCTGAATGCACACAGCCGCCGCAGTCTCCCACACAAACTGCTGAATCTGTGCCGCGCTTCCGAGCCAGACCGTCACTCTCACTTCTCCCCGGTTCAAACCCGTCAGCGGGTCCCAGATCTCGACCAGTTGATCCTGGACTGAACCCTCCAAACCCCGCAACCTCGGCGGCCGCTCCCGGCGCCTCAGCGGCACCCGGACCAGCCCCAGGAGCGCCTCGCTGACGTCACCCATGCGGCTCTCGCTGACGTCACCCGCGTGGCTCCGCTCCCACACTTCCACGACGAGCGTCCCCTCCTGCCTTGCGATGGCGGACCCAGCTAGTTCCTTCGGCGCTGGAACAATGCCCTCTCTCAATTGACTCAACTTCTGCCCCCGCCCAAAACCCCCGTCATGCACTCGCAACTCCACGTCGCCGCCCGCCGATCTCGGTGCTTTCGCGACCAAGATGACCTCTCCTTCTCTCGCTTTTTCGGCCTCCTGCCGGCCACTCGAGAGCTCGACACACTTGACTTGTACAAGCAGGCGGGGCGGGCTTACCCTGCTTTCCCTGCCGTCGTCTATCGCATAAAACTCAGTCAGCGCCGGAGTCTCTGCTGGCTTCTGCGCGCCACCCCTTCCGCTGCTGAGCAACTGCACCTCCAAATCTAGTGTTCCAAAGAGCACTCCCTCGTCGAGTCGCCAGTCGCTGCCAGCGTCTGGCGCTCCCTCGGCGCCCCTCCCCTCTTCAGCTTCCCCTCTCTTGCCTGAAGGGGCCCCTCCTCCGGTCTGCAAAATGGCCGCCCCTTCATTGCGCCCTACTTCCTCAGCACCTGAATCATTACGCTCTTCCGCCGGCTCGGGCTCTCCCGGGGGAACCTCTGAACCGTCTCTCGTTTCCTGAAGTCCCCGACTTTGCCCCTTCTCCCCGTTCTCCTCGCGCGCTTCAATATACAAAGGGACACTGGTCCGAAACGAAGCGGGCACACTGCTCAGGACATCCTCAAGAGAGACGCTTCCCCGGCACTCAACACGCACCGCCCCCCTTCCAAAATGCGCCTCGACCCTCAGTTCGCCGAACTGCCACAGCTGGCGGACGTCCGGATCCGCCATCCGGACCGGAAACTCTGCGCTGTGCCGGAAAACGAGGCCCTTAGCGCTGACTTTGGACGGAACGATGGACATCGCTTGGGGGGGGTGCACGGCCGCAACGTCGGCCATGGCGGGGGGAACGACGGGTAAGCGCATCGAGAGTGTGCAGCTGGGGGGGGGATCCGACTCCCCACCAAGAGTTCCCCCCAGTACGAGATGGCCCACCACGATCCGGACCGTGGTTGCCTGCTCGACCGACGACGCCAAACCGGGCCTTTCCCCTGCTTCGCCCCTTGGCGCCTCCGCCCCGCCAGCCATATCTTGGTCGCTCGACTCGTCCGCGATCCGCCGCCGATCGCTCCCAGCCTCCGCAAAGAACAGCTCCTTCAAAAGCTCGTCCTCCGCGACGCCGCGAGGGTCATCCTCGCTGTCCGGCTCTGCCCAGCTGTCCGAAGCGTACGAACCGTCTGAGCCGTCCGATGTGCAATTGGAGCCGTCCGATGAGTCATTGCTAGAGTGCCTGGGCGACAGCACCGAGCGCCCCCGCCGCCTGAACGGCCCATACCTAGTTACCAGCCCCTCTTCTTCGTCAAGCACATCCACAATCCGGCGCAAACTAGAGCGAGGGTTTCTCTCCCGCCCGCCGCGCCCGTCAGCAAAAATAGACTCTGCCTGCGGGATTGGTACTCGGTCTTTCCCGATCAGGGGAAGCTCAAGGCGGGCCAACCGGGCGGCTGCGCTGCTCACGGGGACAGGAACTGTCTCGCTCGCTCGAGTCATTGCCTCTCGGAGCTTCTCCGCCCTGGCGATCAGCGCCCTAAGCTCGGCGTCAAGGTTGCTTGGACCCTTGGGGCCCTCGTTCACTCTCTCTAATTGAGCTACCTCTGACGCCTTTTCTCCGACATCTGGGAAAGCCGTTACTTCGGGTGAACCCAACCCCGGCTGCTCGCTTGCCCGCGCAGTGGACTCATCCCCAGCAGCCTTCGCTTGATCTGAGTGCATTTCGTCCCCTCCTAGTTGTTCTGCCGCACGACTGGATGCAATCCCGTCCCCGTTCCCAGACTCTATCAGCACACTCTGACCCAGCAATTCGTTCCCTTGTTCAACAACCCCGCCTGCCACGTCACTTGCCGCCGAAACCACCCCCTGTGACCCATCTTCAGTTCGTCTCGAGCTATCTGGGGGCTCAAGTCGTCCCATGCCGGTTTCCAAGGGACTGATACCGATTCCGCTGGGTCCGCTTTCTTCCGCCGGAATGCCCCCTACCCCTGTCTTTGACCCGCTGGCTGCAGCAGCTCTCCAGGTGGTGAGGCGCGGGGTCGGCAGAACCGGCGTCAGCGTATCGGCCTCAGCCTGGTGCTCATTCAGCTCGAAGGAGGTTACCACTGTACAGGGGGAAGGAACGAACGAAGCTAGCTATCAAAGCAGCATGCGAAATAGAAATTGGTTGGGCGGAGCGGTGTAAGGCTGTCAATTACAAGGTGAAAGACAAAGATAGGTAGGGCCACGTCTTCAATCTGCAAAAGCAGTTGATCATGGTTGGTTGCGAAAGCCCAACTATGCTTTCAGGTCATTCTGATATAGCCAGCGTTTCTTGTCCAGTTGTCAGTTGCGCTATCAGTGTCGATGTAAATGTATTTAGCTTCAAAGCGGACATCACAGCTCTACTTAAAATGGCCAACTGTTGCCTTTGAGCGCAACCATCTGTGCTAAGTCTTTGAAATCATCTCGAACAATAAGCCGCAGAACCCGCAAGCACACAACTTGCGTTTCCAATTATCAGTTTAATAGCATATCTGCTTCAAAATCGAGCAGCAACCCAGCGAGGCACGTGATGCTCTCACCTGTTGGGAAGAAATTGACGGAGATAGTGAGTGGCACCACACCAACTGTCCTCTGGCCAGCTATGAGTGGATTCTTCCTGCAAAAAAAAGTCGAGAAAATCTGTCAAACTTTGCCCAAGCAACATTACAGCAGTCTACGATTACCAGAGTAGTGATCTCGTCCAAGGTAAGGTCAGTATCTTAACTAAGGCAGAGGAATACGACACTTCTCGAGTGTCTGATACAAAGAAGGCCTGATTTTCAGCAGGCCTAGCATAAGCGTGCACTTACCTACTGATGGAGCTCACTCGGACCAGGTCGCTGATGTCAATCTCCGCTTTCCCAACGACCCTCGCCGGCCCTGACCCGCTAGTAATCTCAACAGGCAGATTATGCATATCTGCAGGCAAGGAGCCAAACGAATTTCAGCTCCAAACTCTAGCTTTTGCGTTAGCAGGCCTGTGGCAAAGAGGGCAACACGTAGGGGTAGATAGAGACAGGAACAACTGTGCCGATCTCCAAAGTGAGAGCCGACAAAGGAATCTGAATTTGATGGAGGGGCCTGATTGCATCAATCGCATTAGCTGGACCACCCTGTTCGGGCATTGTCAATTCTTATCCTGCAAACTGAAGCGGACTGTAGCGCAAATCAAGAAAAGCATCAAAGAGCAGGCCTAATGGAGGTAGCCGTCCCTAGTGCGGAGATCGAGACAGAGATAACGGAAGATAGGACCTACCATGAAAGTAGGATGACAAGTTCTTTGGGCCACACATGGCTGGAAATACCAGGTTGGTGGCTGACGTCAGTAAGTGTGCACTGCTCTTTGCATAGATCCTGCAAGATGGACGTAAGCGGTGATTCTTATTGGCCCTACATTGACTTGGTCGTAGATCACAGTCTTTGCAGGTTAAGGCCCAGGGCTTGCAGGTGATGGTCCATTCCAGGCGCAAGGAGGGGCCTTGTTTACCCCTTCCTTCCTTTTCCCCTTCTTTCAGCAAGCAACAGGCATGTGGAGCTTCTTTTGTCAATAGGGGAAAAGAACCATCAGTGGCAGCGGCCTTGCCTGGAAGTTGTGCCCTCTCCATCTTGCCCCCACCACTTGATGCGGAGTGAAGTGAGGAGAGGGGGGTCCTTGATGGACCATTCAACACCCTCTGTGGTTATGACAACTTCCCCACGAGGAAGTGGAGGCAACAGCGGTCAAAGGAAAAGTGGTGATGAATTGGCAAGCTTTGGATTGCATTCAAGCGGATCATGCATTCAATGCATTTCAAGAGTTCCTGGAAGTCTCGGAGTCTGCTTCAGGCTTGGCTGAAAACTCAAGAGGAAGCACATCGGTCATGAAAGGCTTGCTGATAACCAGAAAGAGAGTCGCAGGCAACGAAGCAGGGAAGCAAGAAGCTCAGGTCAGCACGGCTTATGTGATGAGGATATTGCTATTTGGCCCAACTCCGGGGGGTATTGACGTACCAAACTGCATCCTCTTGGTCTTCTCTTTCTCAGGGGGTCCTGCACAAGGAAACAGCCTTGATGTAGAAGCTGAAAACCTCTCTTGCAAGGAACCTCACCAGCAGATGCTTTATTGCACCAAGGGGAGAGAGATAGGCTCTCTGAAGGGCAATTCTTTCCAAAAGTCTCCACAGGTTTTGCACCCGAGACAGGAGACAATCAAAAGTGGATAGACTACATATTTCAAGTCATGCTTGTGTGAGAGCATGCGAACAACTCAACAACATGCGGCTCAGAAAAGAGCAGATTTGCAGGCTATCCTTCCAAAGTTCGCTCAAATTGCCGGTAAAAATGCTCCACCTTTAGGCCTCTGGATCCAAGTCAAATTTCTCAACCTAGGGCAAAGGGGCAGATATTCACCGGTCATTTTCTCAAACTCAGGCTGAGCAGCAGGGGGCATCAGCTGCTCCAAAATGCAGTTCCCCAAGGCTGCCCTGACCAAATTCTCTGGCCCATTACAACCGGCGCACCGTACATATCACCATCTGGTTCTTTGCTGCTCCTTCTGCAACCTTTCCAGGCTCCTCACCCTTAATTGCTTCCCTTGTGAAAATTTGCATGATGAGACTTTTCAAGCATTATGGCGGCAATCTGAGCGATCCCTCCACCGGGCTGTGTACCGGCCACAAGATCGTGGCGTGTTCGTTTAGGTCGCTCTGTCGACTTCGATGTCAGGCTCTTTCGAACGTTCTTTTTATATTTTGGGGGTGAGCCCTTAGCCCGCAGGCGGGGAGGGGGTGCACGGTCTTTCGAAAGTTCTTCTTGGGGGACCGTCGAAGGACCTCCGCCGGGTCCTGAGAAGCGGTACCCGGCGTCTCTGGTGACGTGGCTGGGGTTCATTGACCGGGGGCATGGGCCCAGCTCCTATAGGCCCAGCTCAACAACTTGAACTTGAGGCTCCTCCAAATTATGCCGAGTCCAAGGCAAGTTTGCGAATGCAGTTTGTGAGAGGTGACAGAGGTTCACCTGGGTCCAGAAATGGCTGGTCAAATGAGCCGGTGTCGGTCCAGGAACCGACTTTGATGAGCCAAGCACCAGATCGATTCAGGACCACTACCTTCGCTGGGTCGGTGGTGGTTGTGGGTTCGCGGTGGGCCCCTGAGGAGGCGCATGGAGAGGTATAGGGCCAGAAGCAACACTCCTCGGCCTCTGTTGAAGGCGATTATGACTCTCGATCCGGAGAACATTAGGCCAGCGGTGACAGGGGGACCCAAGATATCAACCGTAAAGCTCTATGTGAAGATTATCAAGAGTGATATTACTCGGAGGGCTCAACAGGCTGGCTGGTCGCTCGACATCGTCCATCACTATGTTGCACGAACTATTCTAAAAAATCCTTTGAGTGCCGAAGAGGCGGCTGATTTCGAGGAATGTGGGTGTAAGCTCAAGGAGGTGGCTGGCAAAGCGGGTGGGACGAAGGAAGAGGTAGATGCATATGTGAATAAGGTGAGCTGCAAAGTTACAGCACTGGCTGTGATGTGCAACATTATGTCCCGCAAATTTGTATAATGCAAGAAATAAAAGGTCGCAATGCAACAGCAGATTAAGAGAAGTGTGGGCAAGGCAAGATTCCAACCAGCATCATCAGACAAGCACCACCTTCATGACCTTGGTGCTGAGGAGCTGCCCTTTGAGTTTTGAGGGAATCTCTTTATATTATAATGACAAGAGTGGATAATGGTGTTGTCATGCCAGCGATAGAAGTTCTTTGCCCCACAGCACAGCGGCGAAGGAGGACAAAAAAAAGGGCAATAGCGGAAAGGAAACGGACAGGGTAGAATTTGAAAAGGCCTTGAAAGTGTCTTCAAACTCCTCTTTCAGTCCTATGGATACGCATTTATACTTCCAGCTGTTGTTCTCTTTTGTCCCTAGTGTCTTTTTTGCTCTAGTGTTCCACAATGAGATGGACATCAAGACAACATCAGTGTATCTTACTGCAAATCTAGGCAGATTGAGCAGACCTGATTGTTGAAAAAGAGGGGCTCTTCAGCATGACTGTCACATCAAGGCTCCCCATATGCCTCGGACCGAACCTAAGAGACACTTTGCACTTTGCTGTTCTGCACCATGCCCATATGCAATCCCTTTTCCTGCAGGAAATGAGGAGGGCTGTCGAAGACATCTTCAACAGTCGCTCTAATGACCAAACGAAGGTCTTACTTGTTTTTGCATCAGGCGACAAGCACCACAATCCGGTTTTGTTGGAGTTGACGGCGAGATACAAGGGAAAACTTTTCATTGTGAGATACTTCCCAGGGGTAATACATCCAGAGTCTCTTGATGCTGCCCACGCAAGCTATAATTATTTCCACGTTATGGACCAGGGATTGAATGATCACAACATATTTGACTTCAAGTACAATTACGACAAGGGTTCCACATGTTTTATCAGAGGGGAACACAAGCCATGCCAAGGTGAGCTACTAAGAGTTTAGTATGCGATCTTAGAGATAGGGCAAGGTGGAGTCCGATGATCGTGTTCTGCTCGTCAGCTGACGCTTCTTCTGGTCGGCAAAGTTGCCAATATACCAGAGTGCACTTCACATCCATTTTTTGATACTCTGAAAGCATGGCAGGCTTTTGCGTTGCGCTGGGTAGAAAGGAACATCTCTAAAGGGAGTTGTCATCATGAAATGCACCAAGCTGCAAATGCCATCTTGGCTTCACGGACAAGTCCCTAACTGCATGGCCAAGCCCTACCGAAAGAAGCGCTTGACGAGTGGCTTTCCGGTTGACAGCTCGAGCTCTTCTTTCATGACTCTGCAGATAAGTTCCCTCGGTCTACACGATTTGAATTGTCGTTCAACCATGGTGGACTGTCCAGCCAAAGTTGCAAGGGGTGCGCCTCTATATCTCCACCGAAATCATCAACACCCATACTTTCGACCATGAAGTCTGTAGGTATGTGGAACCGCCAACTCAAATTGTTCCGTTGGCGACTTTCAGTACCACTGTACCTCACACATGGCTGCAGTAACTACTGAAATGCTTCTACGCGTGCTCAGGCCTGCCTGTACATTTCTTGTCTTCGTCCTCACATTCCAGTGATGTTTACACCTCCTGCTTGATCGCAAGAAAGCTCTTTGACATTGGAAGTCTTAGGCGAGGATGCTCAGCATTAACCGGACAGTTTGCAGAAAACTACAAAGATTCCGAGGTCCCACGAAGGTCATGCATCAATGAACTTTGGCTGTATCTCTCAACTTCTGCCTTGTTCTCATGCACCTTCAAATCTGAGACTTCTGATTCATCCATGTCTCAAGAGGCCAGGTGTTGTTGCAGCACCGGTTGTTGGTTATCAAGATCCAAACCCTAGAAGCCTCACGCCACTGAGTTCTCTTGAACAGAAAGTCCAAGAGAGTCGACTTAAGTTTTTCTTTGCATAGGATAGAGTCAGTCCAAAATGGCCCTTTAGATTTTGAATTTTGACCAGACTGCCTACTTTTGCGCAGGTTCTTCAGCATACTCCAATCGTAATAAACGGGTCTTCGTCCAGACGTCATCGTCAGCTTCGCCGGGAAACACAACTTCCACGAGTTCCGCCGATACATCAGTAGGTGAGTTTGTCATAGCGCCCGTAAGTAAGGCGCGGATTTACTGTGAGGCATACTTCAAGTCAGAAGCTTCTACTTCTGCTTTAGCTGTGTTACAGAGGTCATGTCAAAAGGCTACTGCAATCAGCTTCATAGCACTTTGACAAGCTTTAAGTTGCAATCTGTGATGGTCCTATCATGCACGCTTCACCCAAACATGCAGAAGTAAGGGTATATTTCAGGATGAGCTTTGTCTCTTGCGGGGACTAAGTGAAGACGTTGGCACTCTTAGGGCTTGATTCGTTATTAAGACTGAATCACACCAGTTTGCTGGTGGACAGTCTGGCTATCTTCTAAACCAGTATCCGCACTTGTGTCTCTCTGACGCCCTGCTACTTATCCTGAAAGGCTCGCTCTTCAACCCTTGCTGGCAAGATGTGCCCGTTCCTGAGTGTTGGAGATGCGCTTTATAGGAACTCTCCCACAGCCATACAAGTGGACGCTTCTTCCTCTGAAATAACGATCTTGAAACATGACCGATTGACTTATCCTGCTGACAGGGCGTCTTGCGTACGGCAGGCAAGGTCGCTCTTACTAGCAAAGACGCATTTGATCACAAAAAACCTGACCTTGACGACATTCAATCTGTGATTTCAAACGTACCCATCTCTCTGGAGTCATTTAGCGCTTGCTTCTTTCCATCTGGTCTCACATGGACCCTTCGAGAGGCTATCGCTCCTGAAAACCTTGTACATTTGTCTACTTTGACTGAAGAGTTGCAGTCACGCTCTAGAGGTCGTAATCGTTGCCCCAATCAGTCCTCGACCAAAGGCACTTGATTGCGGACAAAAATATCAGACATTAGTGGATTCAGGAGCGGCATGCATGACACATAGGTGTGCTACTAATCAAGCGCTACTTTGCGTGTTGTAGGTTTTTGCCCGCCAAATCAGATGACATTGTTGCAGGGAGCGGATATACGACGACCAGCCGTTCGGGGTTCTTCCGGGCCCAATCTGCAACAGAAGTTCGATATTCAAGACGAGTCCCACTTACAGATTCACTCAAATACCATATTTCCAAGGTGGGTTTCCTGGAAGTCAGAGTTCCCAGTTCGATCCTAAAAGCACTGCTCAAGATTGCTTATTTTATGATGTTTTTATTTTGCTTAGTCACAAAAAGGAAGGCCCAATTCTCTGAAGCTGGGAGCCACCTCATCACTCCAAGTACTTTCATCGACAAGCTGTTTGTCATCCTCTTGACGGGTATTGGGCAAGTCGAAATCGGGAATCGCTTGCAAAGACCTTTTCGCAGGCATCTGAGCAATCGTGAGATTACTCGCTTACTCTAAAAGGGACTCTTAAAATCACCGGTCCTGCTGTCATTACAGCAGTCCAATAAGGGGCATGTTGTCCCTATCGTTGCTTTGCACACCCACTCGTCCAGACACAACCCTCCGATCGTTTGTGAACAAATTATCATTGGCATCATCAAGAGGTGTCTCGCTCCCTAGAATATTAACCCCTGCTTGCGAGATTCAAAGAGCCAGAAATTTGACGGCTGAACTCTGTATAAGTTGCATACCGGAAGTGCACTAGGCAATGCGACTCGGGCATCCGTCGGAGATCAAGTTGATGTCGAAGCACGTCGTCTTCTGGCACGCACGCCTTTGTGCCTGACAGAAGCTGGGGACGTCAAATAGGACAAGCCTGACGTCGCTAGTAGTACCCCTTACATTCGAACTCGTTTTCTTGTTGTGCAGGTTGGGTGCAACCGATGTCCTGGCGAAAATGGCACCCAAAGCAACTGTTCCGTCATACCTCTTGTCAACACCGAACGACGATACACCGGAGCCTACGCCTATCGCGATCGAGAAAATACTTCATTATGAAACTTACAATGATGAGTACCTCAACATCCAGATCACTGGCCCAATCCACAATGAATGGGACAAACCCACAGTAATCAATTATTTCTTTCAAGACCTCTTTTATGATTCTCGGGGGAAGATTGGAGGCTAGAAGCGAGCACCGTGGATTTGGAAGCATGGCGGAGCCCGTGTCTGGACGTCGTGGTGGGACATTCCCATACCGGCCGCGAAGCCCGGTTGGTTCGTAGACGTGCGGTTTCCCCCGGGTGCAATCAACGTGACGACATACTTGATGGAACGGCTTCCGGCAGGCACTGAAGTATATGCGGTGCCAAAGCCAAAATATGTCAACGATAAGGTGGGTGACCATTTTCTGCAGTCGTCGACTGAGTTCTGTAACGGACAGAAGAGGCGTTCGGCATGAGAAGATCTCGATTGCTAAAGTGACCCTTTTGCATTTGAAAATTCAGGTATGCCAGATCTGAACGGCAGTCCGGCTTGCTTGTCGCTTTATTGCAGAACAAATGTCTTCTCAAGCTGCGTCTGATCAAATGATACTAGGTTACCCAGAGAATGCGATCTGGAGGTGATGAGCATACGCGTCATCCTGGGTCTTGTCAGGACGTTCGAATGCCTCGTTCTTGCTCATTCACAAGTTTCAAACATCGAGGATCCAGTTTCTTTCTTCTTCCGCCAACCAACATGGTGTTCCGGCTCGGTCGATCATTGTATACGCGCAAATTTTGTAGTCGCGTTATGACCATGATCGAGCGCTGTAGATGTTGACACCGAAACCTTTGACTCGTTAATTGCAGGAATTCTGGGCGAGCGTGGAGAGCCCACAGGTATTCAGTATGTGCGACTCAGCATCCCTGTATTACCCTCATTTCGAGAGCTTGAAGAATTGGGCCCAAGATATCGATGTTGAACTTTTCCCGTCTGAGTGGGAGTCCGCGGAAGGCGAGAAGCACAAAGGATTTATTATTATGGGGGCAGACAAGACTTCGGTCAGCAAGGTAAGTGGCATATACTCTTTTCCTTTGAAGCACCGAGTATAGGAAGGCGGTGCAAATTTCAAGGAGTAGAAAAGGCGAATCACCTTCCATCATAGTCGACGCACATGTGTTCTGGTTGTATTCTGGTTGAATCTGGCTCAGCGGACTCATCTACAACAGAAGAGTCTTCGTGGATGTGGCCCAATCCACGGCCAGTCTTTCGGGGTCAAGCTGAATTACGATGCCTGATGCTCCCTTGTAAAGGCTAACTTTTCTGCCATTGATGAGTACGCTCCTGGCTACCCTCCTTTTGTTAGACGGTCCCTGTGTGTACCTCAACTGCCTTTGTGATCTACGCCGTATCCGCCAGAAACGAACCGTGAAGAAGTTATTCTGGTCACTTTTGATGTCTGCAACGCTAAGCCTGCGCTGCTAGCAAGTCAAGCAGCCAGGATTAAGAACAGTGGATTCGAAATGGTCCTAGTACACCGTCCCCTTACTCGATTATGTCAGTGGTAATCCACTGTACTCGAACAACATGGAAAGAGTCTGAGCAGATCTGTCACGTACCATTCTTGATTGATTGGTTCTTGTCTCAGGTACTTTCGAATCTGAAATATCTCACCTCATACGTTGTGGCCGGCGCATCAAGTGGAAGCCTTCGACGGATTTGGAGCGACGACTACAGAACCGAGGACTCAAGAATTCCAGGCGTGCCACAAGCCGTCATCAATGACAAGAACGCGACATCATGAAGCAGTATTTATATGACCTTCCGACAAGAGACAGTGCAGCAATATTTATGAACTTACAGTGAAACAAGAGACAGTGCTTCGAGTCCCAGAAAGGGTGCAAAAATCAGACTTTGGTGAGCAGAGATTTGGAAATCAAACCTTACACAGTTCAGAGCCGCAGGATTGTGGAGTCACCTCATTTGGACGGTGCACCCGTTGCTTCGTGACTTGGCCTTACGATTTCGACTGTCGCAAGGTACCGTAGTGTTTGAGCCGCAATCTACCTAGGATTCAACCCATCGCAGCAGTAACCAGACAAACTTTCTGATCGGAGTGTCCTTTCTTGTGCTAGAACTTCTTGTCCGAGCTTCCAGTGGTTAAAAAGGGTCGTCGGTGAGGTCTGTACATTTGCGTCTACTTTGTTAGGTTCGTGTCAACAGGCCGTAGGGAATCGTCTGCTTTGAGCTAGATAGTACAATTCTAGCTCAACTCCGGAGTTAGACAAACTTTCTGATCGGGATCTTGTGCTAGAACTTCCTGTCCGAGCTTCCGATAGGAAAAAAGGGTCGTCGGTGAGGTCTGGACGTTTGCGTCCACTTTCTTAGGTTCATGTCAATGTCCATAGGGAACCGTCTGATTTGAGCTAGATAGTACAATTCGAGCTCATTCCGGACTAATAGACACTTTTTTTGATTGGTAGTGGCCTTTTTTGTGCTAGAACTTCTTGTCCGAGCTTCCACTGGGTAATAGGGTCGTCGGTGAGGTCTGTACATTTGCGTCCACTTTGTTAGATTCATGTCAAGTGGCCATTGCGAACCGTCTGATTTGAATTAGATAGCACAATTCTAGCTCAACTCCGGATCTAGTTAGACAGAATTTCTGATCGGAGTGGCCTTTTCTGTCCTAGAACTTCTTGTTTGAGTTTCCGGTAGTTGAAACGGGTACACCGGTGTTAGTGAGGCCTGTACATTTGCGTCTCCTTTGTTAGGCTCATGTTCATGGGCCGGGCCATAGGGTACCGTCTACTTTGAGCTAGATAGTACAACTTATCATAGCTCAAGTCCGGATTAGCGGATCTACCTAGATGTCGGATGAACCACTTTGTAAAGGATGAAGTTGAAGCGATCGTGATCAAATGAACAGGACGTATGCACAATCTGCAGAATGTTTTGAGCTTTCTTGAAAAATGACGTCGGTCTAGTACGTTCAGTGCCGCTGCCAGACTATAATACTAGAAACGTGACTCTGGGAGTTTCATTCACACTGATAAGTTCGTTAGGTCAGCCAGGGCCTGACACGCCGGCACAGCTGCACTAAAAGAGATTGAATTTCCGATCAAATTCAATCACTCGGACCAGCTGCAGTGACCGCTGACATGCATGGTCGGATTACATGCTGAGCAGATAAAACATATAGAATTCACGTACGTACTGAGTTACGTGACTTTAGTTTCCATATAAGGACCGTACCTCAAAACTTACCAATAAAGGCACAAAAGCAAGGAGAAATGGAAGGTTGGATCGGCTAACGTGCTTTCGACCGTCGCGTCATCCCATTTAAGTCTGAGGACCTCTCCGGCGGCAACGCGCGGCGCGCAAGTTTTCGGGCCGAGGGCTGGATTAAGAACGACGAGGAAATTTCGGTGAGGGGGACTGGAGTCACGAGTTGAGCACCGAATGTGCGGCTCGTACGTTAGATGAGTTGCAATAGGCGTCGCAAAGTGATGACGGGGGGGGCGAAGTGCCGAGCTCAGATTGGGATGCGGATTGTCTGGCCGCAAATGGGGGGCCGCGAAAGCTGCTCTTGGAGGAGGGGGGCGAGCGCAGAATCCCGAGCAGCCGGGGCCGCGAAGTCTCTGTTCCGCAACTTCCTCGGCGGAAGAGCGGATCTTGCAGCAACGGTGGTGCCTTAGCAGGCAGATCGATCGAGACGCGAGCGGTGCTGTCAAGCGGGAAGCCTGGCACGAAGGCGGCGGCGGCTTGGCACAAGGTAGGCACGTTAAGAACGAGTGCTGTCGAAGGATTTTGCGGCGCACATCAGCGTGTTTGCAGGCGGGAAAGGGTCGCCAGAAAGAAGCGGACCGTGTAAAGAGTACGGAAAGACACTCTCAAGAGGTCAGGGACGGGTGAGAACGACTAGCCGGGGGACCGCCAAGAGTGGCCGTTACTACGTTTGACCTAGACGACGGGGGGTGTGGAATCGACGGGTTGGCTTAGAAGTCCGCTGGAAAAAGACCCCCCTGGGGGAGATCAAGGCGGTCGGGAGTACTTTTTGAGTGACGGCGCTGCAAAACAGCAGTGGAAGTGAGCGACGGCGGCAGCTTTATTCCCAGGGAAGGCGGCAAAGAAAGCAGCGACAAAATCGTCGGTCGCCTTTGAAAGGGTACCAGGATCGGAAAAAGCGGGACTGGAGGCAGCTGGCCAGGGAGGCGCAGACAGGTTAAGAACCAGAGCGTTCCGTATTTGAACGTTCACTTACGAACCGCTGTTAATGACCGTTGCTTGAAGAAGAATTTGGTTTCTTCGGGGCCTTGCCGGGCTCCGAATGTTGCCCGCATACCGTTCCAGGAGTTCTTTCGGTCTTCGGGATGTCGCTCATCCCAAAAATCAAAAAGCTGGTCGAACCAGCTTTTCCCCCGACCCCCCAGACGGGAGGGCGCCGCTAACCGCTACCCGTTCACCCTGCACTCCAGCATCACCTTCGTACCGAATCCTCTGTAGCGTTTCCGCACTGGCGTCAGCGCCTTGGCTCCGAAAACTCCGCCAGAGGGCCCGTTGTCGTCTCAGGTCTTGCGGACAGCATCGGAACTAGAGCGCTACGAAGTGAAGCGCGTGGCTTGTGAAGAGGAATTCAGAGGGTTTAGAACGTTTAGTTGGCGAGTGGAGGCGTTTCGTGTGCTCTGCGGCAGCGGCTTTGGGGCGTATTGGGCCCCGCGCAAACTTAACCAGGAAAGTGCAACGAGAGCGGAACGGTAGTTTTGAGCGAAGGAGGAGCTTCGTGGCGCAGGCGGAGGTGGTAGAGAGCGACGCCGAGAGTCAGCGTTCGAGGGCCAGGAAAAAGAAGTATGCTGCTAAGGCGACGGAACGGATAGTACGTGAGGTCCAGGAGCCTGTAGGTGAACTTGGCGCACAAAAATGGTACTGGTCTTTCACAATTGCTAACTTGTGCAGCATGATCAAGAAACCGTCTCCTGGAAGACCTTTGAAGTCATATCTTTTCAGGGATTACTTCTTATGTGTTTTCTGTCATTCAAACAAAGTGTACGGATTGATTCAAATTGTTCAAAAATTTGCTACTCTGGCTGGGGTCGATAGTTGTCTGATTGGAAACGGACCATCAAAGCAGTAGCCGGTCAATTACAAAGAGCTAGTGTGATAATATATGGTCAGCTTCTCTTCCGTTACTAAATAGTTTTCTTGAGTATTCAAGGGTTTATAAGAATGAACGTTCTGAGCCCTTTTGATTGTTTCCACGCTGAAGACATTCCAAAGTTGGAACGCGTGGAATGGGCACGTCATATTGTGACTCGAATGTGCTACACCTGTGAGTAGAGCTTAATGGGATTCTGCCCGCCGATCGAGAACTTGAACCATTTTATCAGTCACAGGCCCCGATGGCTTAAACAGGGGCGTCGGATCTTCGTCATGCACAGCCCACATGATTACGTCAAAGCCATCATTGACGGGCACATCAGGCGGCGCGCCGCGCACGGTTGTCCATGCATTGAAGCACATTGAGCCGCACATGCTGTGCTTGATTTTGATGAACTCGGGCGCCCTCTAGCTGCAAATCCTGCGTGACAGCGGTCCATTATGCAGATGCATGCCAGCATAACGATTTGGTAATAAAGCCGAGGTCTGGCAGGCACTGGCATGCGACGGGCGCAATGAAATCCAAAACAATCGACACGCCCACACATACGTGACCAATAAGCTCTAGTTAAGTTTACCTGCCCTGAAAGGCCACCAAAACAACCATACCCGTCCCAGTGCGATCACCTTAGAAGAATACATGGGCGCATGAGATGTGCGGCAGGTCGGGTACATTTAATCACGCGTTGAAGTTTACAGCTGTTAGTATATGACGCCACGGTGATCAAATCGCCATGATGGGATTGCTCGTTGGGCACCTGAATAAGAGAAGCTCATCTCAGAGTGTGCTAGCCAGCCATGTAGTAAGCCGTTGATACAATCGGAACGAGAAGTCGGACGTGGGCCCGTCATCGATATTCAACTGAGGCTGCAAGAGTTCTTGAACGCATGCGGTCTGGCTTTGGGAGAAGGGGGGCCACCTGATACAGTGTTGCTTAAGAAAGTTTGAGTAGTGCAGTCACAAAGGCATCTCCCGGATTACCTCACGACCTCGCCGCGATTCTTCAAGAAAGACATCTTCATCTGTGCAGGCACGGACAGATCCGATGACGTGGTAAACGTCAATCACGACGTACTCCTAGTTTCACACTGATTGTAGACTTCGCGAGGCGCGCTCGTTCTCGTGGACTCAGTTTCTCTAAGTCTGCTTGCCGCTCCTCGTTCAAGCACCAAGAGAAGGACCAGCCTGGAACAGATACAAATCGAAACCCCAATACTCTCCCCTCTTTTTTCCCATTTGGAGTCCATGAAGTCTCTGCTTTGATGTGACCCCACAATGACAAGCCGTCGTCTTTACCACGCATGACGTCGAGCGAATGGAAGACTCCGAGGAAAGCGCTGTTCCCTACCGAATGAGTAGCTGCGCCCCGTTCTTCTAACCAATTTTCCTTCGCAGTGGAAGCGTACAGGTCAATAGACAGGGCCTCCTTAGCCCGCCCTGTGAGGTAGCAGGATAGCTCTTCATTGACTCCGTCCCGAGCTCTTCTCAACATCCTTTCCAATGAGCTATCAGCTGGATAAAGCTGCTCGAGAGGAAGGTTCATCCAAAACCCCCTGAACGTCCTCGAATCTTTTGCGCGCGGCGCTAGTCTTTGTTGAATGTCAGAGTGACCCCACAAGAGCAGCATCCCTTCCAATCTAACCAGGATGAGAATACTTCCAGGAAACATGTTCGACTCAAAGCTGCGTCCGGGAGCATCCAAGGAGTTGCCTTCTGCGCATGCCTTCAAGTCTTCTCTAGCTCTATCATATGCGCCGTTTGAACAAACAAGCAGCCTCCTTTTTACCAAGAGCATGTACCCTCCTAAAATCTCCACTTGGTCATCTAACTTTGAAGAGTCTTCTCGCTCCTCTTCTCCTGCCCCTCCATAAAATGCTTCCCTCCAGACACTAGGGTTTTCTTTTGAAGCGCGATAAAAGGGCGCCCAGGCACACGTGGCGCGCACGAGAGAAAGAGGGTCCTGAACAGCAAGCTTGTGAAGAAGCACCACGAAAACGTCGCCCGGAAGGGCCTCCATGTCGTCCTCCCTCTCTCCGGTCCCTGTTGTTATGGAGAATCTGCCGGGTAGCGCCCGAATTGGGTTCGCGGCCGCTTTGACTGACGTGAGGAGCTTAACAATTGCTGTGAAACCCTCTCGACGCAGCGCCCGCCAGGGTAGCGCGCGCTGCGGGCCGCGCAGCCGAACGCGTCTGTCGAAACTTTCAGCGTTGGGCCCTCCGGCGACCAGACAACGCCCCACGGCGCTAGCTTGGTCGCCGAAGTCGCTTTTCACGATGGAATCTAAGCTGTCCGATGAATATTCCCCTCAGGACTGAAGTGCACGAGTGTACCTGAAAATCTGAAGCGTACTGGCAAATCAACGTACTCAATGGGCCCGCAGCCGGTTCGCATCACAGATTGAATATATAAGGTGCTCACGAAGATTGATTGGTCAAATTCCGAATCTTAAACAAGTAATCGCTTGCTTTCGAACTTTCCTACCGTGTCAATATCAACTTCTGCCCAGCCTGTGGCCCAACCTTGTTCCAGTCTCCTTCATTCTGGAACATAGGACGCCCAGACGAGCATCAGAAACTTTTCCAATCTGTCTCTGCCAGCGAATCTTCTAAACTTAGCCAACTCTCTGGGCGCGGCAGCGCTAGCAACGGCTTTTATTTTTGAACCGAAGAAGAGGCGGCCGCGAGCGGCCGCCTTGAATCGCAAACCTCTTAAAATGCGCTCTGCCCGCCCACTGAAGGAAGAGAACGCCGCGAAAGGCAAAAGGCGAAAGGCACCCAAGTAAGAATCTTTTCGACACCTCCTGCATTCTTTGGCAGCGAAGGACGCGCTTCTAAACAATGTAGTCGTGACTATCGTACAGGGCCGCAACCTTCTGACCCAGTTGGTGCATGGTTTGTTCTTGAAAAAAGTCTGGTTGCATGAGATGTGAATGTAGTACGTACCAAGCCGCGATCAAAGCTCGTCTAGAGTACATGCAGTAACAACCATCTTGCACTATATCGTTAACCACATGCAGAAGAAACAAGTCAATAGTGGAGGTAAGTCGGATATTCGAAAAGTAGACGGACTGGCAAGCAAATATAGTGTTGGTAAAGCCTTCGAAGCGGGGCTACCGGTACTTATATGTATCCTGATTGCAAGACAATTAGAGGGAATCTGTCCGATCTAAATTCATTCAGTGGACCCGCACTTGCATCCTTCCAGTCTTCAACACGGAGTACAATTATCGTTGACTCGGAAGTTTCATACACGATATCCGCTGCATAGTATTGGCTCTTGCTGCTCTTCTTCCGCTGATCAAGGACTTGAGGCTATCGCTTTGCAGACTTGATCTCATAAAGGTTTTCATCCAATCCTTTGGAGTTAAAGGTGCTGGGCATACTTTACTTCCAGATGAAGTTCTGACACCGTGTCTTGGCAGCTCACGAGTCGCACTTTTGGGCGCTCCAGACGTACTCATCTTCCTATTCCTTCAAAGATATCATGTAGGAAATTGCCAGTGGGTTCATCTACGCCTCTACGGGTTCCTGATCAGTTGTTGAACCGCATCCACTCCGGAAAAATCCGCGCATCGATCTGGAACAGTGGATAGTTTCCTCGTGAACATATTTCGGCACAAGGGTCACGATTTGGACCCATAATGGCGCCCCAGATAGTGTAGGCACCATCCCATAGACTACGCTGCCAGATATTGATTTGATGAAAGTTTCCAAACCAGACTTCGTCCATCTTCGATACACTCCGCTCGTTTTTAAGGGAACAACCGAATCCGTACGCTTCGACGGTTATCATTTTGAAGCTTTCTCCCAATGAATCGCGGCTCCTTCGACCACCTGTGATGAAATCTTCCTTCCAAGTTAGTGAACACATCCGTTGGAGAAGAAGGCCCGCCGTGTAATAGCCGGTGTCCAGATGCGGAAGTACTGTTGGGAAACGTTCCTGAGCGAAGAGGCCCCACGAAAGAGGATGGTTGCAAATCCGGGCGACAATAAGCAGTCCGCCGTTTAAGAGCTGCGGCTGAAAGCAACCATCGATCGGATGGGCTCCGCACTCACTGCACTTCTGTTTTGTTCAGATTCTCTGATGTTATGCGTCGCGCGCAGTTTTGCTGTCAGCAGACGCCTGACACCCCCTCGCGCATCCACTTCCGCATCCAGTTTGGAAACCTCCTCCGGAAAATACGCCGGGTAGTGCGTGCCTTGACCTCTTCCCACCCGTAAAATGCTTCCTTCCAAACCTCTGGACTGGCTGCTGCCGCCCGGTGGAAGGGCGCCAAGGCACACGTGGCGCGGAGCAAAGAAACTTGCTCTTGCACTGCCAGCTTGCGGACGATCAGCAGAACAACGTCGCTTGGAAGGCGGTCCATAGCGGGGGGCCGTAGAAGAACTAAACAGAGTCTAAACAGCGGCCTCACGACCCTGGTTGACCGCATCCTGACTTCGCTTGAGCGGCCGCATCTTTAACCTTCTGAAGCCTGTAGGCCGCGCGTTGCCGCGTCGCAACGCGACAACGCTTGCGGCACGCGGCCGCCGCGGGTCTGCGCCGGCGGGGCCGCCCGCCTGGCTGCGCTGTTGGTCACTTCGCACGGGCGCGCGCGCGCCTT